CTCCTCCCTCCCTCCCTTCTCTTTCTTTTCTTTCTTTCTCCTTCCCTCGCCCAGGGATGCTCAGCCACCAAGCTACACCCCTGGTCCCTTTTATATTTTTTATTTTGAGACAGGATTTGGCTAAAGTTGCTGAGGCGGCCTCGAACTTGCTATCATCGGTGCCTCAGCCTCGCGAGTTGCTTCCATGCCGGCCTTAGTTTCTCTTTTTTAGAAGTTTATGTTGAAGTTATCACTATCTATGTAGAACTTTTAGTATTTTATTTAGAATCCCTTTATCTAACAGTGGTATGGTTTTCTGGTACTTTCAGTGCGTTTTGTACATTGTGGTAAGTCGTCTTCTTTATATTAAAATGTTTTGGGTTTGGGGACATATTTATTTTGGAGACTTTTGTGATTTGGAGATTTTTTTGTTGTTGTTCATTATTTTGGAGGTTAGAGTAGACGGCCAGAAACTAAGTAGAACTATCTAGATTCTTGGAGACCAGAGAAATACTAGTCCCTTTTTCCCAGCCTCTCCTCTTTTTGTTTCTTTATCTGGACTACTTCCACCTAGACTACAGTACTCTGGAGGGCTAAATATAAGTTTCTTTGGTTCTAGCAATTAATTTTTTGACCTCCTCTCATTTCATACTATTTTTATTGGTAACCCACTCTGGCACTGGGTGTCCTGAGCATGCATCATTGCATTTCACTCTCATAGTATTTCTACAGCAATTGCTCTACATTATAGATGAGGAATTTTCTGGACAATTGGAAGATTAGGTCTTTTTCCCCCAAGTAATACAAGTGGTGAGGATGCAGAGCTGATTTTCAAATCAGGTCTGTGTGATTTATAGTAGTAGTTCTCAACTGGGGGCCATTTTGTTGATGTCTGGAGTTCACACCTGGGGGCCAGAGAGGTACTGCTGTAATCTATTGGATAGAAACCAGAGATAGCTTATAGACAGCACCCAAAGAAAGTTGTTTGGCCCAAAATGTTTGCTAGTGCTGGGACTGAAAAATCGTGCTTTAAAGCGGTCTGCAACTGTAGGCTCCTATTTCTCTACTTCTGTAGTTCTTAAAATATAAGGTAATTTTCCTACTAAGGATAGGATCCTCATTATTTTAAAGCAAGCTGGGGAAAATTCTCTTGACTAAGAGTCATATATTTGAAAGATGAAGGAGTGAGCAAAGAATTTCTGGTAACAGAAACTATGTTTTGTTATAAGGCAGACACAACCAAAACAACTGGAGAAGCATTGAAGTGGACTTGGTGAGTTTAGTTTCCGGTTGTCCACATTATCCAAGCAACCCATGGGGGCACTGATACAAAGGTGCTGGTGAGAAAGGTAGTTTTGCTCGCAATCAGGATCAGGTTTTGGCATCATTCTAGTAGAGAATTTATTTCTGGGGCTACTCAGGTGTTCATTAAAAAAACAGAACCACTCCACACCCAGCACCAAAGTACCTGTGTCATGGTATTTACTGTGGGCACACTTAGACAAAATAGGGGAAAGTTGATGGGTTCTTTATACCTTTGTACAGTTGATCACGTGTAAGTATTTACAAGAATCAAATTGAGAAACCTTTCTTATTAAATGCAAAATTTTTCCTTAAATTTGGCCCCAGTAGTCAATATTTGTGTGTGCATTTTATCTTTGAAATCAATAAATAAATAATAAAAATTTTAAAAGTAGCAATTGCTTAATTTCTTGCTGGTGTTTTTCCCAACCTGGTTTTTTTTTTTTTTTTCCCCATGCCTACTCACAGGCCTTTCAATATGTACTGCTTCATTCTGGTGGCACTTGTAACTGTTAAGTGAATTTTGGGAGTGGTTGAGAAGAGTAGTCAAAAAGAGTTAGATCTCATTTTAGGTATCCCTAGCTTCACACTTCACGTAGTCAGTGTGGCATCTTTTTGTTTCTATATTTGGTTTTTGACTCAGGCCATCACACAGTGTGGTTTTTGCTAACAAATAGGTTTCTCTGCCTCTTATCAGGAGTTGTCTGCTATGGGTTGGGGGTGGGGAGGTGCACTGAATTACACACCTGAGAAGGATTGCTGTCACATTTGATTTAACAAATTTTTTTTTTTTTTCCTGGAAAGGGTCAAGGTAAATTTTTGCCAGAGGAATCTTGCTTGATCAGTAGTTGTCTTGCTTCTCTGGCCAAGTTAGGTCACTGCAGTTCTTTCTTTGTAAAATGAGATGGTTGTACTTCATAATCTCTGAGATTATATGACACCAAGTAGAGACAGCAAATTATTAACTTCCATGTAATCCTGCCCCAGGGAATATGTTGGTTAAGCAGCAGGAGGAAATAAGCCAATTAGAAGTTGTGTGTGTTTGAGCTATGCATCTAACTTGAAAGCTATCTACATAATAAATTTGTTAGTCAAAAAACTAAGCATTAAAAAAACAGGGCTCCTGACTAAGTAGGTCATCAACGGAGACCATTTATTAAGGATTGCAGGGTTGAGGGAGGTGAACTCACAAATGCCTTAGGGAGTTTGGAAGGAAGTTATGATGCAAACCTGAGGGAGGAGACCTGGAGCCACCTAGGTGTGTGGGTAGAGAGGAGGTGAGGGAGGCAGTCCCAGGTCTACTTTGCCAGGGAGCCTGGGCTGGTTAGATAACTTGAAGGAGAAATCTGTTTCCCAATGTGACTCTTAATACTATACATGTTGTGAAGTTGTGCTCTGGTATTTCCACATTCTGGATTTTTCCATTCCTTTTTGTTAATTTTTGATCATGATGAGTTTGAGCTTTCAAATGCTGTTGCTTGTCATGAACAGACAACTAGATTTAGTTACGTGAATGTAAGCTGGGTAAGAGCTATATCCATGTGGGGTGGAGGGTGGATTGTGTTTGGGAAAAAAACAGAAGTGAATCAGGCAGCCCAGGCTTTGCTTTCTGTAGACACAGACTTCACTTTTGTCTTAGGCCCGATGCATTACAAATGTGTGCCATTGTTGGATAGGGAAGAGAGAAAGAGTACAGAACAACTCTATGCATTCATTCTATTACCATATTCTTTATCCAAGTGTGAAGGATGGTGGAACTGTATAAAAGAGCTGAACCCTTTTAATTCCAAGTTCTTTTGAATTGAATTAGGTTTTTGGGTACAGACACTAAGGTAACTTCCAGGTTAGTTCTCAAAAAAAAAAAAAAAAAGAGTGACTGAGTTCTCAAGAGAAGCCTGGAAACAGGTTTGTTTCTAGAACTTGCTATGTAGAACTCTTAACAGGAGTGTTTAATGATTCTAACTGGTTCAGAAAAATTGCAAATCAGAGCGGGGGTGTAGCTCATTGGTAGAGTGCTTAACTAGCATGAGTCCAAGGCCTGGGTTTGATCTCCAGCACTTCCAGAAAAAAAGTTAGAAATCACTGGGCTGCTGTTTGTAGCTGTGTGACTGCTCCAGTCTGTGTTTTCACATTTGTGTATTTGATTAGGTAAACATACCTGAAAATACATACATAATGTAGTTGGAAGTCAGAACACCTGATTGTTTCTTAGGACCACATACATTGATGAATGCAGAGTGTTTCTCCGGAATGAATTTCAGGGTTCTTAAATACATTTTTTAAAATAGTTGTTTTGGAGCAAACAGCTGCCACTCTCA